AAATAAATAAACTGGAATAAATAATTAACCAAATCAACAAAGTTTTTGCCCTTTGAAAGGAAGAATTACTTATAATAGCCGTGCTTATAAACTCTTTGAACGTGCTTACAAAACTGTAATCGCCATCAATAAATGCACGATTAAAATGCTGGTCATAAGCAGAACTTCCGAAAGAGCCAGGCGAATCCAAAGAACTGTCTACTGCTCCAGCACTGCCACCCGCCGGACCTACTACACCATAATTCTCGCCATTTTTCTGAGCATTTACCAGTGAAGATCTCTGATTCGCCACTTTTTCGTTAACATAGTAATCAAACTGAGCAGCCATATCAGAATCCATATTTTGCCCTGAAACCAAAATCTGCAAGTATTCTGCGAACCAAGTTCTGCAAATAGTTACGCTTTTACTTAAAGGTCAAAATAAACCCAGAACAAAGAGGAGTGATCAAATCTTAAAGCAAAAGGGCAAAATATATCTTGTTTTACAAAGAAAGTTGAAATAACAAATTTTATTCAATAAATCCTTGAAACCAATCTTACCTAGCGAAATGTAAGGTAGCAAAGAATGAGTATGCAAATAGAATCGAGAAACAAGAAAGGAAAAAATCCCGATTCAAAACACATTATGTCAGTGACTCCTAATCCACATTAGCTTCCCAATTCCTTTCAGTAACACTTTTTTGTTGCTTATTACAAAATTGCCCTCCTTATGCCATCGTCTTCAGCCCAACTTCTATATTCATTATTTACTTCCACCTATACTCAGCTAGACAATTCACCACAATTTCTTGAACTGACTTCAAATCTCAAACTGCTCATTTATCATCTGAAGCTTTTAACGCTGCTTTAACAATTCCACTGCGCTATCACCACTTACCCCTTTCAGTGCCTTTCGATATTCTCAGATGGAAAATATCGTGGATCACTACATTTGAACCTACACTTACTCTGTGGACTCTGTTCCTCACTCGCTGGAGGCTTGGCAAAAACAAATGCGGTGCCGCCAGGAGGGGAAGCATTCATTCTCATGGCTTGCAAACGTTGCTCAAGCGAACTACTGACCGCTGTATCAGTTTCTAAAAATATTAGGTCATTACAATTAAAACTAATCCGTAAGCCCATATTTTTTGAATTAAAAACCTTTTTTTGGAGTAAGATCGTGTTGTATAAGTGTTCCATCCTCTATAGTACTTCCTTCTGTCCCCTCGACACCTTTCACCATCGTGGCATCGACGTCGCCTTCCAAGTCAACCTTAATTTATAAAAAAATAAATTTGGAATTTAATGGTTCTATGTAACTGACTGTTGACATTGAGTCATCAAGATGACAGTTTTAAAAAATTATACCAAAGTCGGACAGAATACCCGCGAGGTACACTAAAAACATTGATTACGCTAAATTAAAAGCTGGAAAAAATAACATTTTTAGCTGCAGCGGCTTCAGCACAAGTCCGGGCGTCTTCAATCATCTCCTTTAAAATTGCAGCTGATGGGGCATTTATTATGAAAGAATGCTGAAAAAATTATAACAAAGACGCTGCATTCAAGAATATTAAAGATTGAAATGATTATTGAAATGATTGTAAAACTGTGTCCAATGTCAGCTACCTCAAGCAACTCTGTAGCAGATTTGCGCTCTTCTGGATTTTTAATGAGGCATTGAGAAACAAACGATATAAACTCGGATGACCAGTCTGCCGGGTTCTTAAAGGTGGGAGGAGGCTTCGTCGGAATCATAAAAATTGCCTTAAATGTTTACATCTTTTAGAAGCGAGATTATACGTATACTTCACTTGAAAAAAATTAAAAAACCCTCCAATTTATTTTTATAAAACTATGTAGACATTGATCTAAAAAATAGCTCAAAAAAAAGAAAAACTATACTCTCATTGGATGAATATCAGCATGAGGAGGGCGTCCCTCGGCCATTTCCATCGCTGTAATGCCTAAAGACCATATATCAGCTTTCGTATCATAACCAGTTTCTTGAATTACTTCAGGAGCCATCCAGAATGGTGTTCCAATGAGAGTATTACGTTTAGCCATCGTGTCCTGAAGCCATGAAATTTATAATGAAAATAAAAAATTGAAAAAATAGGGTGCGAGAAAGCTTGTGTGTATTTCATAAACAACCAAAATAATGATGGGAAATACGTACCGTTAACTGGCCCGCAACTCCAAAATCTGCTAACTTGGCATTTCCCTCATTATTTAACAAAATATTTCCAGCTTTAATGTCTCGGTGGATTTTTTTCAAATCGTGAAGATATTTTAATCCTTTTAAAACATCCCTAAAAACTTTTATAACATGACTGATAAACCTCCAAAAAAAAAGTTGAGACATGATGAAAACTGCATATTTCTTCGAAATGTCCATCATTCTAGACGATAGCACCCTAAATCTCCGCATGTAGACACAAAGTTCTGATGAGAACAGTAATATGGCCTCAGTTTAACAATAAGTGGTAAAAATTGAAAAATGAACAACAAATGACAATACAGTAACTTCTGCTAAAAAATTATGCAGTTCACAGGAGAGGGCCCTGAAGTGGCTACACAAACCTGGCAAGAAACTGCAGTAAAAACTTATACGTTACTCTTATGCTACTCCTTGAAGCTCAAAAGAAGACCTGGGACACTGGACGTGGATTTTTTCATAAGATTTATTCTCATGCAGACAAAACCCAGCAAACAACCTCAACTGTAACTAATGATGATTTCAGAAGTGTCCAACTAATGTGATGGAACTTTATCTCAATATAGGAACTACAAGTTTTGAACTGTCATTCCAGTCTCATTCTTCGACGGTCAACTGGCAAAATATTAAATAACAGTGACCCTTATCTTGCGCAACTCGGGGCACTTTTTAAATTTCTCCTATTATTAAATTATAAACATGAAGTAATAGATTACCGAGCTATGAAGATGTATTTATTCATTGTTCATTAAATCTCGCCATAAACATACTTAATATCAGGAAGAAAATTAGTATAGTTAACCTGCGTTTAACCTTCGACGACTAAATATTAACAGGAAAAAACTTTGAATTGTAGAACTGGCGCCTTGCCTCGTCACAACCACCTAAACCTAAGTCTTTTGTGTACATTCCTGTTTCAATTGCAAAGCTGATAATTTTGAGACAAATATAAAAAGTAATCCAGTCCCTGCTGTCAAAACAAAACGCCTTCTAGAAGTCAAATATCTTGCCCATTTGAAATCAGATGTCACCTCTGGCGAGCAGTTGTGCCAGTTGGAACAAAACTGAAGGTAATTTTAACTACAGAACCCTCTGCCAAAAAGATGAGTCTTGTAAGACACCATCGAACCAGAAATCATCAATTAACAAATTAGGTGTAGCTAAAAAGCCAGAAAAATATGTCCGTAAAAAATTAGTGTCTGATGACTAGTGAGCGACCATTAGTGAGGGGACTTGTAACTATTTCAGCAAATAATCGTAGAAAACTTTCAAAAGCCGTTCTTCCGTAACTTTCGAAAATGGTTTCGTTTAACTAAGTTACTTCAGCGAAAAACTTTATAGAACAGTAAAAAGGTTTTCACAGCTAAAAATCAACTAATTCTAGATTTTCAGGCTAAAACGACTTTCGCCTAATAAGTCTCGAAGATATACGTTGCTTAAGTTAGATTTCAAGACATACTCAAACAAAAAAGCGGAAATAAGTACGAAAAATTTAAAATTAATAGCGCAAACTATTAAAATAAAAAATAATGAAATTTCCTTTATCTTCATACCACTAAAAGTTATTTGAACTTTGTAAAAATACTCTTCTTGTTTGTCTTTTCTCCAAACAAAATGTATGGTAACTAACAACTCAACTACTTTACTTTAATAGGGTCAAACAGTCACATGTGGATATAATTCAAACTTTTTTTTTATTAAAAAGCCTCCAAAAATGTGATTGAACACAAACATCAATGATAATATCTCATAATCAATGAAACAGCTTTCTTTTTTGTTCAACGACATTACTATATTTTCAAATACACTACTACTAGTAACAAATTACTTTCGAAACACAGCTAATTGAAACTAAAAATAAATTCAAAAATTAGATATTAATAAGCACACCTTGTAACTGCACTTATTTCTTTTTCGCTTAAAGTTTTTTTCCTCATCCGCATAATATCAGAAACAGATCCAGCACCACAATATTCCATTACTATCTAAAAGAAGAGAGTCACACAAAAATCAGAAAAACAATCTGGTAGCCCGCAAAAAATAGCTCACCCAGAGATCAGAATTTTTGAAATATGATCCATAATATTTTACTACATATTTACTGTCACACTGCTGCATAATACTTATTTCTTTTATTATCTCTTGCAAATCCGTATCTACAGGCACTTTTTTAACAGCTAAGATATGACCAGATTCTTTATGAATTGCCTTATGAACCGAGCCATATGAACTAAAAATAAA